TTTCATCAATTTTCACTATTTTTCACAAGTTTTTTGAGGTTAGGAAAAAATTGTGACGTGATGGGCCAATTCTGACCCCAGATTCGTGTTCAGGAGGCCAAATTACTACGAAAAATATATGTCGCATAAAAAGTATACCCAACTTTTTTTTTCTGTGTGGCTGTGTTATAGTATTTTTATCGCCAACCCTTTTTATTGTTTTTTTTTTTGTTTTCTGTTAATAACTTTTTTATTTTGCAACTTAAAAATTTAAAATTTACACAGACGCGAGATAATGTAATTACCTTTACCGATCCTTTTTTACCGAATTTCATTGTCTTGACTTGGACAGAAGATATACGCGCTTGCATTTTGGACTTTATAATTGCAAAATTATAAGTAGGCCGCCATTTTGAAATTGGGGATCCGGATTGCGGGTATTTGTTGAGCACCCCAACAGTTATCTTTTCCTGTAGTTTCATCCAATTTCAGTCAAATTCGTTCTTTTTATTTAATGCTGAAAATTTTGCACATTTTTTCTTCACCGCTAATTTTGCATTGTAAAAAAAAATTGCGAGCTTACGCAAAAGCATATCCTTGTAGCAAATTTTCTCAGGAAAAAAGAACAATTATTTTTTTATTCTGTGTATTTTTACTTAATTTTAAGCCTGGTTTTTGAAACAAGCATGTGTTTGGTCTAATTCGCCCGGATTATAAGTAAAAATGTCGAAATGTAAGACAAAGTATCACTTTTTTATCCACGTAATCTAGACATCAACTTATTCCTAAATTTGACACACTCTAGCGCTTTTCCCTCCGAAATAATGGAAGTATACATTTTTCTGACAACATTTGCTCTTTTTTCTCGACAGCAAAGCACCTGAAACCTAAAAATGAGCCAAACTTGAAAGAATCGCCTCGCATAAATTTCCATAAAAAAAATCTACAGCGTTTACGCCCGGTTTAATTATCGAGTGTTAGGTCCACGTTTCGAAAAAAAAGTAAACAAAGCGGGCGCAAACAGTTGGCGCTCGGATCCGGAGCACCGGATTCATTAAAATGCAAAACAAAACATTTGGGAAATTTCGTTTCAAGTGACTCTATCGATCTCGTCCCTCCAAAGAGGCGTTCTAGTGGCTCTCGCCAGTTGGTGGTCGTGCCGGCTTTTGCCTGTACTCGTTGCGCGGGTAAAAAGCTTAAATTTGAAGAGTCCAAAGCAGCAAAATCTTATACAGGGTGTCCCCAGTAAGAGACATACGTTTAATATGTAATTAAAATAAACAAAAAGTTCGAACTTAAAAAAATATTTATTCGAGTAAGGGTCATAATCGTGAATATTATCACAAATTTTAATCCTTTGTCAAAGAGTGACCGCAAAAAAGCCATTTTTCCGCCTGTTTTTGAGACTTTGACAGAGGCGACAGGGAAAATCCTAAAAATATTCTAAAAATATCCAAATACTCGTCATGAAAAATGAAAATGAGCATCACTTTCAGTTTTTCGGAAATTTTCGAAAATCACTCTTATTTAGGGGTTGAAAAGACAAAAATGTGAACAATTTATTTTTCAAAAAATTAGCCCGGATGTCCCAGTACATTTAGTGTAAATGACGGTTAACTTTGATCGACTATAACTACGTAACTAATTGACCAATCGATCTGTTTTTTTTTTTTCTAAAGAAGCGCCTTTCCAAGAACTTTTAAAACCTGCATTAAAAATTTTCATTTGATTCCTCCTAACTCCTCCTCCTAATTGACGGATTAGACTTTCTTAAAAAAAGTTTGAAAGCTTTACAGCCCTTGTATATGTAATTAAATTTTCAAGTATCTAAGGGCCTTGGTTTTTGCTGCGCAAAATTTTGAAAATTTGCAATTTTTTTTTCAAACTCTGGATTGCAAAATTATTATGCAAAATCTATCGAATTGATTTTGATGAAATTTGGTATGATGATTCTACATAACATGAAGTTTTCTTGAGCCAAGTATAAAGCTCCTATATCCAATTTAAATACCCCAAAAAAATTCCCTAAAAAGTATTGTTTTTTAACCCCATTTTTGCGATTTTTTCGATTTTTACCATAATCATGATTCATTCGATTTGTAACTAGTCATGTTTTGTAAAAAATTTACAAACATTTTTTTCCTCTTCCATTTTCGCCTAAAATCAACTCTTGAAAAGATACATAATGAAATAGGGAGAAAAATAAGACATTATTCGAATTTTTTTAACATATTGTGCCGCCAAAAGTTAAGCCCACGTTTTTTTTATGCGCATAGAAAAATTTTCTAGTGATATTTGGAAGCTAAAAAGCCAAAAATCTCCGTGGATATACGATTCACTCAAATACGGCTTTTTGAAACAGATGCCGTCTGGATTAATATATCTTTGCGACCAAAGGAAATTAAAGAACGGCGTTTTTTTCTGACGTATCGGAATGGTCGATGTATTGCGGAACCAGTAGGCAAAAATATCTCCGGTAGCATATCGTCCAGGATTGCAAAATATGTCGGCTACGCAGATGCTAATATGTATACAGGTCATTGTTTGCGTCGTACTTCGGCAACTATTCTCGTAGATGCAGGTACAGATATGATAACATTGAAAAGACATGGAAAATGGAAGACTGATACTGTAACATCAGGATATGTAGAAGGATATGTTCAATAGACTGGGCCAAAAAAATCGACTATTTTTTTTTGAAAGATATATCGAGAATATCATTCAGAATCACAAAAAAATACAGTGAGAGTTTGAGCCCTTAACATTAGTTTTAAGGGGTCTATCATCGCTAGTATTCGATTTTTTATTCCTGATCCAATTTTTGCGTCAAAACTGCCAAACCATCGAGGTAAAAAAAATTATTTACATATATTTTTGAAGGAAATTGAATGCCTTACAAAAAAAGGTCTGATTGAAAATTTTCGGCTGACGAGCCTTTTCTATGTAATCAAGCCTTGAAAATTGACGTTTTTTCGATTTGACTTTTTAAATCTGGAATTTGGTAAATAGAGAACAAATTAATATCTGAAAAAGAACAATGCAGATTTTCAAAGAAAATGTAATGCTCTATAAAAAAGGTCTCATGACGTTTTTACATAAATTTACTCCTTCAAGTTATTCATGATTGAAGTTGAAGTAAAAATTAAAATTTTGTTTTTTTTCGTTTTGGACACAATTTTTTTCACTCAATGGAACAAATTGATATGTTTTTTCGATTTGACTTTTTAACTGGAATTTTATAAATAATGGAACAATTATCGACAATTATTATTCTATCATATAATCACCAAAAATTTCCAAAATTCATAGTATGTAGGTATATTCAAATTTATTCTCGCTTAATAGCTATTTTTTCTACAAGAACGTAGTTTTACTGTCTCAAAATAATTTTAAAAATAACAATTATGTAGTTTTGTTTAATTTTGACGAAAAAATGGGATCAGGAATAAAAAATCGAAACTAGCGCTGATAGACTTAATATTAAGGGCTCAAACTCTCACGATATTTTTTTTCGTCATTCTCAATGATTTTTTCGATATATCTTTAAAAAAAAAAAATAGGGATTTTTTTTGGCCCAGTCTAATGTTCAAGAATCGAAAGAACTAATGATGGGAATTTTTTTTGAATTGATTATGAGGGAAAATGAACAACATTTATTCAATGACAACGAAACTTTAGGTAGTTTTTCTGGTGTTACTGTTAAAGATTCCTTCTCAAATTGAACTTTCGTTTTTAAAAAAAAAATGATTTTTGTTATTAATTTTAAGCAAATTATTGTTATATGTCAAATATTAATGTTAATCAACTTTGTACTTTCATTTACTATTCTACCCTTGCAGAAAAGAAGGGTACAAAATAGGGTCAAAATGCAGGCAATAATATTTAGGTCCGCTTATTTCGCCCTAGAGTGCCATAGCACTCATCAAGCTATATCGCCTAAATGAAAAAAAATATAGTTATTAAAATTTATGGTTGAACTACCAAAAGCTCGTCATTTGTCAGAAATTATGTTGCTTGAAACTGAGACCCAAGTGAAGAAATACAAAACTCTTCACTGAATTCATTATCTACCTGTAAATAAGGTTTTATTGATTTGATGTTCCATGATCTGTTAATTTTATTAATTTATTTTCATTTACTCCAGCTTCTGCTAAATGGCTACAGTAGCCTCTTGATAAAAGTGATTTGTCTATTTAAATTTGTTGGTGGCAAGACCTGCTTTTTTGCAGAAATCATCGTTCTCTTCGAAATTTTATTCCTACCAACTGGGATATCTTTGTACCCTGAATTTGATGTCGATTTGTCTTTATATTGACACATTGACTTGACGATATTCAATATGAAGTAAATAAAAACCTACCAAACAAGGCAAATGTCTTCTAGCAATGTTCCTTATTAACAATTACTGCAATTGTATTCAATTCTGTTGGTACTTGTTCCATCATATTTGTTTCCCTTAAACAATCAATTAGACAGTTGGTTGCCTCACTTCCTTGTAGGGTCAGCTCATGAAAAATTTCCCTTCGAAGATTGTCTGATGTATTTAGGTAAATCAAAGAGGTGAAAATTTTTTACTCTTTTTAGGTGCAATCTGATGAACTTTTCTTTTCGTTTTTCCGAAAACCATTTGCAACATTAACACTGAAGTGGTTGATTCTAAGACGTCTCTTACCAAACAAAACCCTTTAAATTTATTTTCTGGACCTACCCAGTAAGGAACAATGGCACTAGTTCTTTTATTTTACATTAGATGCCATGTTTGACGTGAATTGGAATTGATAGTGATGGAGCTCTTGGATATATCCATTATTGAACATATTTTGGATCGATTTCTGCTTCGACGCGGTCAAGAATAAGAAATTGGCTGTAAAATATTCAGGGAGTACTTAAGATTTTTAAATTTTTAAGTCAGTGTTATTTTTATTGAGTTTGGGGGTCATTAGATATCTGGATTGTTCGGAAAATAGGTCAGAACCAAAATAAACATAAAACCAAATCAGAAAATGTGTATATTAATATTTTAACTGGAACACAGGTACTTGATAAAGTGGATTTACAACATTTTGATATAAAAATAAATTCCTTAGCTTCTCTCTTCATACTTTTACTGAAACTGATTTTTGTTAGGCTTAATCTTTAAAGAACACTCTCGTTAAGAACATTTCGAGGAACCGTTGACAACCGTCGACGACTCCACGGAAGACTCCTCCACGATGATACTATACTTCGGCATGGGCAGCCTATAATCATCAACAATTTCAACATATTCACTGTCATCCACCCTCTTCGTACAATTCTCAAAGTACAAGTCGTTCTCGCTCCCCTTTTCATTGACATCTTCAACAAAGTTCAAAGACGACGGGAAGCTGGATTCCATACTCTTCCTGGAAATCTCCAAAATCCTCGCTTTCATCTTCTTGTTCAAGGTCTTCTTATCGGTATCGTCCATCCTGTCCCCGTTCAGGACGAACACGTTGACCTGGAGGCTCTTCCTGATCCGCTTCTTCCTCTGGAAGGTTTTGATGAGAGCCTTGACGAAGGCGGGACAGAATAAGTAGTAGAAGAGGAAGTTGACGGTGACATTAACGGCGCCCAGGAGGGTGCAGACCTGGCGGACGATCTCCAGGGTTGTGGATCTGGCCTTCTCGTGGTTTCCGGAGAAAAGGATGGGGACGGCGTTGGTCCTTGATACCAGGGTGGCGGGTACTTCGGACACCAGGAACAGGACTATTATGGATATCAAGGTGATCGTCAGGTTGGTGTGGTCCTGGAAAATTATCCCCAAATTAATTAAATTTTATGGGAAACAACAGTGACCAATCTCTAGGGCTGATTCTAGTCGTCAAAACTAACAAAAAAAAGAGGTAACAGTAACGGTTTTTCATATTTTTCTCCAAAACGACGAGGAAGCGCTCTCAAGGCCTTCAAAGATTGGACTTGAGATACAGTTTTTTATCGGGAGAGGAAGAATTCAATGGCGAAAACGTATATTGAAGAGTCTATTAAAAAATTTAATATAATAGAGTCTTGGAAAGTGGTTCAAATTTGATTGTTACGTCAACATCGATACTTGATGATGAAAAAATAACTTGCATATATTTGGAGCTTCAGAACAAGATACGATTTAAAGAAAGTTAAAGCTCCTAGAGACCAGGCGGGATCTGTTTTGGTGTAGATGTTTGATATAATATCGCTAATTTTTTTTAATGGCTTTTCTCTTTTTTTCAACACAGTTCAAAAACTATTAATTTTAGAGAAAAATTGAAGAGGAAAAAAAGATTCGTAATTCAATTTTACACAAGACATACCTATTTTCAAATAAAAAAATACAACATAATTATTACAAATATAGCAAAAACAACAAAAAAAAAGTGAAAAAAATTACAATATTTTTGTGATTTTTTTAAAGGTATTTATAGGATCTTCATACTTGGCCAAAAAAATCTCTTTGATATAATAAAACATCACACCAATTTTCATTGAAATCGGTCCGATAGTTTTCGAGTAATAATTCTGCAATCTAGATTTTCAAAAAAAATTGAAATTTTTGCAAATTTAACTGTCTAAATTAAGACTTCTAGATCCTTGAAAAAAATGTTAATTAATTTATATTCAATAAAAATGTATACTATGTATAAGAAGTTTTTTTTGTTCTAGTTAAATAAAATTCATTTTTTGACACTCAAGAAACAGAATTAAAATGTCAGTACTTTCGAAACAAATTATTTGACATGACTGAAAATCTTACGTTGTTCTTCTTTTTCTGTTTGTTTTTATTAGAAAAGTCAGCCCATAAGATTGTCACAATGTGTATAATATTTACAAAGCTATGACACTTATAAAATGTAATAAAGAAGTATTAGTACAACCACACATAATTACTTTTATAGGAGGGCACATTTTAAATGAAAACATGACAAAAAAGTACACAAAGCTTACACACTTTGACAGATAATTAACAGTTGTCAAAAATGCTCAAGACATAATTAATTGTCAAAAATACTGTAAAGCTCTGCCATAAACAATAGAAATTACATGGGTGTTTTGATTTGAGGAATTACAGTTCTACAAACCTTTCTTTTTCCGTTGCATTTTACTGTTATTTTCCTGGCCTTTTTAAGAGACATAATCAGGAATCCATTTCCAAAGATTAACACTATGCCGGGCATTATCGAGAAAAACGTGAGCATGAACCAGTTGAACGCGGTATAGAACCTTAAGAAAAGAATATTATAACGAGCGTTCAAATAAAAACGTGGTCAAGTTGGTTCTGAAAATTTGGACGTAGGGCGTAGCGTATAGCAAATGAACTTAAACGTCATCTGTCAAAGCGCTATATCGCCGCTATCAATTTGAATATTTTCGTTTTAAAAAACGTTTAAAATGGTGTTTTCTCAAGAACAAAAAGTATTTATCATAGAGTCCTACTTTAGAAATGGACGCAAGATTGATGGAATATGGAAGTATTCTATTGAGGAATGTTTCATAGAATTTCAAAATCAGTTTCCCGGCGTTGTTGAGTACAAAATTTTTCAAAGTGCAGTTCAGCGTTGTGTTAATGTTTTTCGTGAAACGGGCAGTGTAACAAGAAAAGAAGGAAGCGGCCGACCTAAAAAGCGGACTGAAGAATTAAAAGAAAATGTCCAACAAATAATGAAAAATGCGCCAAGAACTTCTGTACGTGTTTTATCACGAATGGTGGGAGTATCAGTCGGTACCTGTCACACAGTGTTAAAAAAAGATTTGCGTTTGTTCTCCTATCGTTTAACTTGTCAGAAAGAACTTCATGAAGTTGATTTTCCGCGACGGGCTGTATTTTGTGAATGGTTTTAAACAACTACGGTGAACTTCATAATATCACCTTTTTTCTGATGAAACCTGGTTTCATTTAAGTGGTTACGTAAATTCACAGAATATGAGAATGTGGTCTTCTGAAAAACCAGATAACTTTTTTGTCGAGGGCCCTCTACACGCTCAAAAAATTGGAGTTTGGTGTGCTCTCAATCGAAGGAGGATTTATGGACCTATTTTTTTTAATGGTACTCTTACTGCGCAAAGGTATAGAGAAGAAATTATCGCTCCTTTTGTTAACCAGCTGGAAGATACCGAAATTACAAACTTTTACTTTCAACAAGATGGCGCAAGGCCATATACGGCTGGCGAGACGATGAATATGTTGAGGGAAATTTTCCAAAATCGACTAATAAGTCTCAATGCTGAACATGAATTTCCACCGAGGTCATGTGATATTACGCCGTGTGATTTCTTTTTGTGGCCTTACTTTAAAAACACTATTTTTGAACTGCCTATTCCTGATTTAAACCATCTGCAGGCTCGACTTATAGACAAGATTCGTGAAATTAACAATACCCCGAGCATCTTAGAAAATGTCTTTAATTCTTTGAGGAACAGGTGTGAAAAGTGCTTGGAACAAGGAGGGGGACACTTTCAACAGCTGCTTTAATTTATTGTTATAACAAGGAGGGGGACACTTTCCGCAGCTCCTTTAATTGTTTGTTATTGTTATCACGATTATTCTTTAAAATAAAGTTATATAGTCATTAACGTTATTGAAACTGACAGCTGCTATACAGCTCGTTGAGAAATGAGGTTAAGTTGGTCGCTATAAGCTATTCCCTACGTCCAATGTGTCAGAGCCAACTTCGACCACGTTTTTGTTTGAACGCTCGTTACTTATAAATACAGTTTTATTTAATAACAAAAGCAATTGTATGTAATTTTTCTCGTTATTCGCTTCTATAAACGTAACGTCTTCAAAATTTATTTATATGTTAAGAGTATGAAAGAAATAAATATAAAAAAGTTGCGCCCCCGGGTGGGCTCGAACCACCAACCTTTCGGTTAACAGCCGAACGCGCTAGCCAATTGCGCCACGGAGGCGATGGCTTACGATTTCCTTAAACAGTATCACTTTATACCATTCGAATTCTACCATATCTTAATCCTACTTACACAGAATCAAAAAAATACGTCGTTACCAACACACCCTCATCGCTCCAAGTAAATATAAAACAGTAAGGGAGATTCAGTAATATAGACAAGAGCACCGCCGCTGCCATAATTTTCCTGGCTACAATCCGATTGCAAAATTTCGGTTTGGTGCACTGTACGGGGTTCCACAGGTACAGCACACGATCTGAAACGAAAAATATCAATCCTGGAGGCAACAAGTGACGATGTCGTGTGCAACAAACGAAGAAAAACCGGACTGACATCGTGTAATCTACCTCTTTTACCTATTGTGACTGCCACGGTGGCTATGACGCTCAGTGTGTTGATGGCACCCCCAAGGGGTAACCCCACGAGTGCGTCGTAGGTGGCCCATCCTCGGTAGTACAAAACCCCTCTGCTCAGGCCCCCGAAAAATAACATGAAGGACATCAGGAGGTCAGAGGCCGCCAAAACTGGAAATAAATTCAGTTTTTTTATTAATTCGATATTTAAAAGGTTTCTATTTCGAAAAATGTTGGCACTTTCGAGGTATTTAGAGTAATTCTCGATATTTAGATGTAATTAAAGGTTTTTCGAAGGGTTTATAGTAACATATCAGTTTCCACAATCATAAAAATGGGGGGGAAGATTGTTTACAGGCTGGTTAATTGTATAATTTTTACGTAAATTCACGTTTTTCGCTTATAACTTTTTTCCGTTCATTTCCACGACAAAACAGTAATGTACTTTTTTTTCGTCTTTAAAGGACCTCCAAAACAAGGCCTCGAGCATCAAAATATTGATTAGATCAAAAGTTATAAACAGAAGAAGTTTATTTATGACTTTTGAATTAAACATTTATAAACTACGTTATTATTACCAGAACGTTTTGGCATTACATCCTCTCATTCCTGATCACTGTCTAATAACTCACACAAAATCTGGAATCGGTAAGTTGAATAGTTTACAAGTTATGGCCTTATTATTATTAGTCTGGCCGATCCAAAGCATCTTCCACAATCACTTTGACAGTCTGTAACTCCATTGTTTTTCAACGAATCTTGACGATTTTTTTTTTAACTTAAAGTTCTTTTCATAAGCTTTCCGAATATGTAATCATATATAACTATATCACGCGCGTGTCATATATTTCATTTTGCAACTAAGGCTAAAAAATAAAAAAAATTTCCAGGATGTAAATTTCAAATTAAAAAAAAATGATAGATTTCAATGTATTATTATGAAATCTACCATAAAAAAAATCAGTGCGATTTTGCGAAAAAAGGATCCGATAATGTCATTTTTCTCGTCTGGGTAAGTCGCTGACTGAGTGATCTTTTTTTTAGAATCAAACGAAAGAGTGTTTAGGTTTTGATATTTTGCATAGCATAGTCACTGATTGCGTAAGGTTTTTATTTATTTTTTTTACGGCCCTTCATAGAGCTTGCAGTCCTGGGCCCACCCCAAGCAAAAATTCTAGCTACGCCCATGTAGATATCGTTTGCATTCCTAGATTTCTGCTATCGAAGAACATTGACTTCATTAAATGTATTTTATGCGTAATTAACCATTATCCCTACAACAACTTTTGACATCAAATACATATTAGAGTAGATACTTCAACAATTCAACGTCATAATAACCTCAAAAATATTTATAACAAATTTTTATCATTAATCAAATCATATCACACTAAAAGCACAAAAATTTATTGCAACATGGTTTTCCCTCCCTCCTATCTGCTTTATCAATACCATTATACAACAAAGATAACGCCTGAACAATTTTATTACATTTCTACTACTACGTAATGACGGATTTCTACAACAGGCAACACATTTTTACCCTGTTTGTATTAGGAAGTTATCGCGAGAGCAAAATTTATCTCTCTCAGATAAATCAACTTGTACGAGACCAACGTGAAAGCGATATATCGTCGAGTTTTACTAGTTCATTATCGGCGATCTGTTTCTAATTATTTAGCGATAAGGTGTTTTATGAAGTGCATAATATTGAAACACCTCTACTAGCAGGCAATAAAAAAATAGTAGGTCGTACACTTTGATTGTACCATAAAATATTATCGACAGATTTGTATCAGCACGTAATTCTGTGTAAACGTCGTAAATTTAAAGTATGCGAACCGTAAAAGCTGGAAATTTACTTCCGAAATGTGAAAGGTATTCGGAAAACACACATACGACTTTTTTTACAGTTTTATATTATATTCATGATAGAACAAATTTTGTATTGAGGACAAATTAAGGCTTAATATACGAGGTCTTTTCAAAAAATAGTTGTTCATTCCTATAGTATCTATGTACACAAGGGTTAGATTCGGTCTGTACAATTTCAACTATGACAATTTGTTGCGGGTTGCAAATATGTGACGTCACACAAAAAGTCTATTGGAATGAAACATATTTAAAGTTGGCGGGATTTTTAAGGATTAAGGAAAATAAGGGATATTTATTTAACACGGTCCGTAAAGAGACGGTCGCCGCATAAGTCAATTAGCCAATAAAAAACAAATACGTCACCAAATTCCTCAGTTTATCTTCGTTCAACCGTCATCTCTTCCTGACTCATTGCATATCCCATAAGAAAATAAGAGGGAAATTTAAAATTGTCACTTCTTGTACCACGCTCCTTTTAACATAAAATAATAAATTTAATCAGTTATGATTATGGTTAATTAACAGATATTTTGAGTCTAAGATGTTACCTTTATATACAAACTGAACCTCTACATTGGAATTTGGAAATAAAAGGATGAAATGTGAAATTGTCTTGAATACACACCACGACCGGTCACCAATTTTGACGTTTGTGTTAATTTTATTACATATATCTATTAATATCCATAAACTCTAATAAAATAAAGAGGGGAAGTGAATATATAAACAATTTAGATCTATCTTAATATTCTCTTGGCTCCAAAATAAAAACTGTGTACAATTTATATGATCTTATTGTATCTGCTTTTGTCTTTAGTTAAATTTCAAATAACTTACCAAAGTACTTTATAATAGACTGCAACATAATTATTTTTGTACGTACCAATTAGTTATCATATTTATCATTTTACAGTTGATGTTCCGAATTAAAAAATTCCTAAAGTTTTACAAGTAAACCATACCTACAGTAGTTTTTAGTCTTGAAAGATTTTTTTTCGGTGTTCGGAGTTAAAAGGAAAGGAAGAAGAAAAGTTATTCACACAGATCTTTTGACATAACATTTAATTTTAAGAAAAATTGTCAAGTTTACAAAAATATTAAAATCACATTTCGATAGATACTTAAAATTTCCAATTGCTTTTCTAACCAATCACATCAATTTGTTATACTCGTACAACAATAACAATAAATTTAGTCCTTTCGAAGTGAATACAACCAATTAAACTAGAAATTTAACATATAACCTGTTTTCTTTTAAGTCTTTTTCTTGATGATAAACTTAATAGCTCTGCTTGAAGATTGCATTCAAAGTTTGAGTCTTCAAAATGTGTACCTACTACAAATATGTCCAGTTACATGATTAAACAAATCGCGTCTTTTGCACCGTTCCACCCACATCTTCCTAAGCCTTTGATCCTTAGGAAACACATTACATAAAGTTTTTTAAATTGTCTTGTTTAGCACTATAAAAATTATTATTGCAAATTACAACACTACACCTCACTCCTGGCATTTTTACGTGGTAAATTAATAGTTTATATTAAACACAACACCATCAACTTTTTAAAAACTATTATCAATAACTAACTAATTACTGCAAAATACCCAAAAACTATGAAAGATTTACTTAAATACTTGAAAAAATGCAAAATTTCTAGTTAAGTCGCATGTAAGCAAACATGAATTCTAAAGGTTAGACATCTTGTGACGTAGTATGATATAAGCCACGCCCATAATTTCTGTCTATTACTCGACCGTCTTTTTTACGGACCGTGGATATTTAATACCTGCGTGTGGGCAGTTTGTGGACTAGGGTGGAAACACTGTCATGGAGGTTATACGTAACGCATTGTTGCCAACCGCATATCAGTAAATATCTCTAATAACGCCTAATTCAGAATGTTCGGGTGTTTTCTGAACAGACCCCGTATTATCTACCGGTTTTAAAGACAGTTTAATTATTGTCGAAAAAAATAAATATACTAGTGTTACTTTTTCTCCTTTGCACTTCCTGTATATTTCGCAACATCGCAACATTTTCCAAAATTACGTCATACTATTTTGCTGATAAAATAATACTTGGCAGCATGTCATTAAATATGCTTAATTAACTCAAATTATATGCAGTTTTATAATTTCATACAGTTAAAACTAGTTTATATTTGTCAACAAGCGCAAGGCAATCCATCATCCTTAAACTAAAAAAGCATCGCAGAAGGCGAACGGAGCGGTAACGTGACGGAAACATTTAGAAATAACTTCCGCAGCCTGCTCCGATTTTCCATCAGCAAAGGATATTAAAGTTGGCGTCTGTCTTTTCTTTTACAGACCCGGCTGGCTATTATAGATATACTTTATAGTTCTTCTAGTTATTACATATAAAAGGTATTTTCCATCCGTGCAAAAAGCTGTTTTTAACGCACATCTGTCAAAAATGCAACAATACAACACCTAACGGAACAAACAGAGCAATTTTTACAATGTTTCTGTCATGTTTACATTATTTATTATAAATTTAACTTACCAGCTAAATAAGTGTATACGGAACCCATTAGTTCCCGTCGCTTCAGTACCATGAGGGACAGGGTGTTGCCAAATATCCCAAACAAACATATTGTGGGCGTTATTATGGAATATAAAATAGTCCCTACGACATAAATAAAATAACTGTAAAATTTAAATAAAAAAGTGCAGTATCTCTGTTTGAAGCCCAAAATTTAGAGAAAGGTTAATTCCTCTCCGCATACTAACAAGCTAGTGCCCCCAAATATTGAAATGTTTATCAAAAATACGATTTTTTTTTCAGTAAATTTACTACAAAAAATATTTGTTGGAATTTTATCCGTCGCCCCCACTGATAATCATTATCTCTCACGTAACGACCGAAAAATTATGCACGCAATGTACCTTTGGTTGTCGGCTGGTCGTTCCATACGTCACTGTCACCTTTGTAGTACAAATAGTCCAAGTTAAAGAGGATTGAACTTCCCATTGCTGAGGATAAATGCTCGTAAATATTAGTCGACATACACCACTGCAACAAAAGTCAAGTGCTGGCTCAAGCTCGACGCTGTATCGAAAAATCAATGGGTTAAAAGTATTTATTTTGTGCCTAATGAAGTTGTTCCCGAGATTTAGATTAGTGTGTTTACCTACTCGTCCATATAATTACGTTTCCATGTTAATTGTTGGAGTTGTGCACTCGAAAAATGGCAATTCTGTGCGTCAGCTGCGCCTAAAATTGTCTTTGTGGCCGTTCACTTTATTATTTTTAAGTTATTTAATTTTCTTAAAAAAAATGAATAAAAAATATCTAAACAGTCCGATATCGATAGACGATCGTCGATTCTTGCCACACTTCTTCTTTATGCGCAGTGTCAATTGTAATTTTTATATTAAGCATATTTAATATTTATATTAAGCATTTAAGTTCAGTGGCCTGACCACTATAGTGTGTTTTATATTTTTCTCAGCGCATAAATATCAGCAAACATGTAAAACCAAAAACTCAAAATTTAAAATATTAGAAACTTGTAAATATAATCACTTCTGAGATCAAACTCAACTCTAGCTTTAGTAATAATTTTTTAGTATTTCATTTATTTCACTCAGTGATTAAAAAAATATCTTTCACAAAGACATTTTCAAATTAATTAAATTGACCTCCCAGTTTCTAGATCCACGAACCACCACTGTATAATATAATTCTAGCACCGACATCGCCAAATTAATTTACATCCAGTTCCAGCCCAGTTTGCAGGTACATATTCATAAATTTTAGAAGTATGTACGTGCTTTATCTCTATCAAATCAAGCATTGAATTGCAAATTATTGAAAAACCCTTTAAAAATCCTTATAAAAATATTGTGCAGACTGTTTATCGCATGTATCCTAATCTTTGAACCACTTAAACCGTAGTTGAACAAATAACATTCTAAAATATGCAGAATCAACTTTATTGAATCCTTTGTCTCGACCGGTTAGGCAAAATACACACGCCCCTGCACAAAAATAGTATCTGTTGACATTAGCACGGTATATCAATAAGTAGAATATTAATAGCTATTAGTTTTGTCGTTTCGGTCCAGCCTACTTTCGGACAAATGTCGATTCGGTTAAACGTTACCAATACGTGGCTTTCCGTCTCATTTGTCAACCTGGCAATGTGATTCCCTCACCTCGCCTAAATTTCTAACTTCACAGAACTGGAATTGCCACTCCAGTTCTCTACAGAGACATGGCAAACATTGTCAACATAATCGTAGCCCAAGCTACAGAAAATCTAACAGAAAATGCTGCGAATTCAACCAAGAAACCTCCGAGCACCCCAGAGGGAATGGCAGTTGCATATGGGAGCCTTGTTATAATGGCTTTACTACCAATCTTCTTTGGGTCCTACAGATCTGTTGTATACCATAAGGAAAAGGTAATGCCAGCTGTCAGTTTAAGTAAGATTTTTATAACAGTTTCTGTTTTAGAAACCTGAGAGGATGACAAAGAAAGATGCTGCTATTTTTCCAGTGATGGCTTCCTGCGCCCTTTTCGCCCTTTACATAATATTCAAGCTGTTCTCCAAAGAATATATCAATCTGCTATTGACAGGTTATTTCTTCTTTTTAGGGGTTCTTGCCCTTACTCATCTCCTAAGGTACGTGTCGGAGAAGGAATAAAATCTAATCATAACTAAACGTGTGTTGTTTTTCAGCCCCATTGTGAGTAAGCTAGTTCCAGCCGCAATTCCAAACATTCCATTCCACATTACCTTCAAGCAAGGAGAAGGGGATTCCGCACAGTACCTAATCGATTATAGGTTTTCCACCTACGACGTTGTCGCTCTGGCCGCATGTTCCTTAGTCGGAGCCTGGTATCTCGTTCAGAAGCACTGGGTGGCCAATAACTTGTTTGGGCTGGCGTTCGCTGTTAATGCCGTCGAGCTGTTGCATCTCAACAACGTGGTGACCGGTTGCATCCTGTTGAGCGGGTTGTTCTTCTACGACATATTCTGGGTTTTCGGCACGGATGTGATGGTCACTGTGGCCAAGAGTTTCGAGGCCCCCATTAAACGTAAGTCCCACATTTTCTTTATTCTGTTAGTAGGTTTTTCAGTTTTAATTAAATTAGTTTTTTTTTATGTTAAAACTTCATTATCAATTTTTTTGGGTAGTGTCAGTTTCGGAGTATGTAAAATCAAAATTGAGGAATAATAAACTTTTTTTATCGTTTTGTGTTAAACAAAATTATTTTTTTGGTCGTTCAGAAAATTAACCTTCATTTTATCAACTAATGCAAAATTCTGATTGTAGTTTATTTAAATTTTAATTCGTAAAAGAAATTGTATAAATTTTATTTGTAACCTTGAATTTTTTTAGAAATAAGTTTTGGCGTGGTCATATGCAAATAAATAATGTTGATATAATGCAAATTTATTACACTTGAATTAGCTAGTTAAAAAATATGTAGATTAAGAGTACCTTACCAATGAAAAACATCAATATCAGCAGTTTATTGCTTTGGAAGCATAACATGTAAAGTTAATCTTTATTGAAAACAATTTAATGTTCTGTGAGTCATAAAAATATCCTGCTGTATAACATGTAAACTCTTTCAAATAAGAAAATAAAAACTACCCAGGTGAAACGTAAAACAGTATATTGTGAGAAAATAATAATGCATAGACAAGGAGAGTACTTGAGACTCGAGAAGGAATATGACTGACTAACTAACACTAACTTCTACATCGTAAATGTAAACTATATAATTTTAAATAAACTGATGCCTCAGCATTCAATCCATCAATGCAGCTCCATTGGTCCCTATACGGGGTGTCCCCAACTGCTATCGCTTACAAACAATTACATTCATAATTGCTAATTTTGAATTTTTATTAACAGTAAAATCACAAGAGCTTTTTTTATCAGATAAATTTCTCTTTGTAAGGAACTAATTTTGCCAATCAGTAATTTTACGAGAAAAACTGACATGAAAAAATCGGAAGACCAAAGGTTGCACGATTTTGTCAATTTGACAAAACTCCATAAATTGTCTCCATATCGACAATTTAGTGTTTGTTGTGGATTGTGGAATTGATTTTTCTATGTTTTTTCTAATTTGTTCAGTTGAAATTTTTCCAAAAACGACTCATATTTTATACTTGCACTTTCAACAATACTTAATAATTGTAACGACAGGAAACATTTTAAACTGACGTGCGCCTACTAAGTACAGTTTAGTTTATAGGAACAGGAGTTTTTTTTGGTGATAAAAAGCTACGGAACTTTTTTGTCGCTGTCAAAATGACATTTATCTTTGTAAAATGCTGATGAAGCATTAGAATATTTCAAAATTGCGGCCACTTAATCAACCAATAAAAAGACGGCAATTTCTCTATGCCCTAAACAACGTTGCCAATTTGTCAGTTTGTGGCAGGTATCAGGATTTTCTGTAGACTAGTTGAATTAAGTGGAGCTATGTATATTTTTATGGGTGGGGCCCTTAAAAGGTCATCATTTGACAACTGTTGGCTTTCCATTGCCATGAATGTCAGGCCTGCTATGATTTTTTATATGGGTGCATTTTTCAGAAAACATGTAATCGAAATAAATTGAAAAAAAATGCAACGTAGGATTTTGTTTTGCGACTAAGATGCCATGAAATCAAAAACAATTCGTTGTTGTAACAAGACAATATATTTAATTTGTTCGGTGGAAAGTTTTGTACAGTAAAACATTTACAATAAGAATTACGAATACAAATCTATTTATGACAAATATTGCTCATTAATAACCAATAGGTATTTTTACTTCAAATTAGATTCATAACTATTTTTTGAGGGAATCCAAAATGGTCTTTTGGAATTCAATTTTTTGGTAATTATTTACTATAGTGGCACCCTCACCAATTTTCATAAAATTTTGTCTACCCCCCCTATTTTCGATGGTGCTGAACACGAATCTGAAGTTTTTTTGTGCGGTCGAACCTAGTTTTTGAGAAAAATTTTTTTCAAAATTCTAACCTGAATATTTCAGATAACACTACGTAGAACTCTGTATATTTTATGTAGCTTTCAGAACATCTGTAATAAACAATGAACATGGTTAAGAAACACATTTTCCCAAATTTGAACTAAAAAAAATATGTATTTAATAAATAAAATTATAGTAACTTTATGTGGGATGAATGAGAGTGGGGGAACTCAATGTTGTCACCACGAATTACAAATGGCGGATTCAAACTACAAAATTTTTATTTATTAAATACATATCTTTTTACTTGAAATTTACGAAAATGTGTTTCGTGAATAGTGTTAATTGTTCATAACAGATGTTCTGAAAGCTATATAAAATATACAGAGTTCTACGTAGTGTTATCTGAATTATCCAGGTTAGAATTTTGAAAAATTTTTTTCTCGAAAACTGGGTTCGACCTCACAAAAAAACTGCAAATTCGTGTTCAGCACCATGGAAAATAGGGGGGTAGACAAAATTTTGTGAAAATTGGAAAGGGTGCCACTATAGTAAATAATTACCAATTTTTTATTTCATGGTATCCTAGACAAAGTTATAATTTGCTTTTTTTTAACCTGACACGAAAAAAAATATATTTTTTCTTCAAATTTGATGCTGTATCAAAGGGGGTGTTAACATACAGAAAGTCAGACATAGGATACAAAATACACCACTTGTGTAAACACATGTTTGAAATACTGAAATTTTAGATACATTAAACCCAGCAATATGACAGTTGAAAGAGAGGTTATGTGGACAAGCTAATTGAAAGGAGTAAAATAGGCAACGCTGTTGCAACTTCTGATGTCTTTTGTTTCATTAGTAGGTGCAATCAAGGCCAGTGACGTCATAACGCTTAAAATTTTTAAATCGCGAATTTTCAAATATAAAAATTTAGCGTTGCCTTTTTTGATTTTATTTTTACAGCTTCTATTAGGTATATTTTTTAATTTAAAATATTAAGTAAACTACTTCAACATTAATTGCATATTATTTGTACAATTTTGCTTGGATCCGTAATTTTTTAGGAAATAATACTTCAGAAGGATTAACCCAGAAACAGAGACTTGTGCGGGAGAGGGAGCTGGATATTATTACTCACCAGATCGCATTTATCTTTTTTTAGCGTAAATTTTTGTTGCAGTTGTATTCCCCCAGGACCTGCTGCAAAACGGACTGTCGGCCAACAACTTTGCCATGTTAGGGTTGGGAGACATCGTTATACCGGGTATTTTCATCGCTCTTCTGCTGAGATTCGACCACAGTCTCAAACGCAAGACAAAGACGTACTTCCACGCATCGGTGATCGCTTACTTCTTAGGACTGATGGCCACGATTTTCGTCATGCACGTTTTCAAACACGCACAACCCGCCCTGTTGTATCTGGTACCTGCATGTATCGGAACTCCCTTGGGGCTGGCTCTTTTGAAAGGAGATTTGACCGCAATGTTCAAGTGAGTTGTTAGTGTTTATCGGCGGCTTTGAACGGGTAAATATTAAATTTTTTTGTAGGTACGACGATTCGCCGGAGGAGGAGAAATCCGAGGAAAAGAAGAAAGGGGAGAAACAAACGAAACAAGAAACCAAGAAGGTTAAGTAGAACGGAAGGCTTTAGTTGTTAATTTTATCAAATTCTTCCAGTTACATAGTACTTTAATTATGCACAAAGACTGCATAGGTGCGCAATTACAAATGAAACATACCTACCTAAACTTTTTTTATATTCCATTACAATTCCCAAGATTCGTTTGGCTATTGTTAAGATATTTTTTTGCAATTTGATCGTTTTAAAATCAATTATTTATAATTATGTTTTCTATTAAATTTTTTTAAACACCTGTCCTTTTTATTTTAATTGATTCGCTACAGATATATTGTACAGGGTGTTTTCCGAACCGCAAAACTGGGAAAACTTGGAGTTATCAGGAAATTTCATAGATCTGGAAATGTCGTGGAAATATCGGAGAATTTATCGAATTATTCTGGAATTTTTTTATTTGACAAATATTTCTGATTTAATAATCAAAAATAGATACTTTCTCTTCAGTTTTGATGCACAGCTATATTTTAGGGGAGCATCATGGCATTCTAGATACAACACAAAGTTAACGGTTTGTATTTTTTAAACTTTAACAAAAAAATTTTCTAAATCCGAAAGCTTTCTAACGGACTAATTTTTAAGAAATTCAAATATGTGGCCAAATTTTTTTGGCTCCAAAGACAAGGGACCCACGAAAAATTGTCTTAAGGGTATTCCCTGCCAAAAAACGTAGCACCAGTAAAATCCACGTCGTAAAACCCATGTGTACCAAATTTAGTGATACTCGTATAACAGGGTTGTGAGATATAAAAAAACACTACTATTTTACAATTAGAGGCGGATTTCAGGGGGCTGTAACTCCGAAAGAAGGGGGCACTTCACAAAAATAAAAAATACGGATCCCCTAAATTTGTCTTAAGAATCTGTGACCAAATTTTATTGCATTAATTTCGGGACACTCGGTATAATGATTTGATAATATTTGCGCAGGAGATAGAGACAAAAAATTTGATTAATGGAAATATAAAACGTTGCCTGAAAAATTTGTCGAATCTACCTAGAAAGCAAAAAAATACACAGAAAACGTTTGGGTTAAAATCTAGTGTACACCCTGTAGAAAACATGTACACTTTAATATTTTATTAGTATCCTATACGAAAAATTGGGATTTTTCAATATCGAAGTTTGAATTTCCCGCATAGGGCTCGCTATGATGACGTCACTAATCAATAAATGAGTTCGTTCAGAAACACTAAATACATAACCAAGGGCGTGCTCGGATTTTAGCAACCGTTACCTTTGAATTAAACTGAATGACGCCACTTATCCTTTAAACAACTAAATTTTCAAGAAAATAAGCACCTAATAGGCCCTATCAACTGATCGATTCACAGAAAAAAACTAGTAATTACCTATTTTGTATACAGAATAATAAATTACTTCGTGATATACAGTTTATATGACTCTATTACAGTTCCAAAAAGTATTTTTTATCTCGAAATACCTATAAAAGAAGGAATGAAATCTCGTCAGGCTTACTTTTAGATACATTGCAAAATGTAAGTATTACTTACAGCGTTATTATTTTTTTTAAAAGCTAAACTATTTTCTTAAAGATGTGATTAACTTTAAATAAAGAGAATATACAGACTTCTAAGTGAATACCACCGTTTTGCGAAAAACTCGAGGGTTTGTTTATATTTTATCTGCTTTCTTTAAGTACAAACTAATTTCACAAATGGGAAATTCCACAGACTTCCATATTAGAAGTCTGTGGGCAATTCATGCCATTGTTCCATGGCTGGAAATTGGCCTTAATGATTTGGGATCGAGGGGGATTATCCCTCTTTATCCTGCCTCATCTCGTGTAGGCCTGGACAGCCTTCGTAGGTGGGCCCCATCCATCGCCTACCCCGACCGTAAATGCGGCCGGTGTAGGCGCTTTGTGGGACCTCCTTTTGTCCTGGCTGGGCCCTACCGGCTAGGGCCCTTTCTTCTGGCGCTCCAAATCATTGAAGCCAATTTCTAACCATGGAATAATAGCGCTATCAACGTTGAAATCGTTGACTGGTTTTAATCAACGGTTGATATAATCAAACAGGAAACTACTTATGTTCCCTATAGGAATAGTTTAAGATTAAGGTCATAGAGGTCACCGTATACCCTGTTATTTTCTATTTTGTGATTATTCCATTCTCCGGAATAAAAATGATTTATCCACGAAACAAAACACGAAGTACTTTTTTTCTGTATGATCTGTACTGTAGTCTTTATATGATTTTATTCTACTCTCATGTGCTTAATTATTTTTTATATTAAAATAATTTATTTCTCCATAAAAATTAAATTGCAGCTAAGAGGTTGAAAATATTGCACCTAAATCTGAGGTTTCCACAAGCTGGTAAAAAAATCCATTTAGATTTTAAAATATTTGTTGCCACTCATCTTGTAAATTTTTTCAACGAACTTCATAAATTTGTATACGTAAATCATAATAAAATAATACGAAATAATTTTCATTTTTATTTAAATTATAATCGTAAGAAATACTTAAAAAATAATATAAAAATTAATTTTCATTTAAGTTAGCTAGAGTAATATTGGGCATATCATGGATACCGTCCTTATCGATGACCTGCACTTTAAAATTGAGTAAATTAATAGCAAGTCTCTTGTGGACCTCCTGTACACACTTTCTTAAGAGGTTATAACCCTGGTCTCTGCTTAAGCTTTTCAAATAATTGCGGTCCATTATCGACAGGGAGAAATATCCACCATAACCGTGGGCAGCGTAATCAACTTTGGCAGATGATGCTAAGTAATCTAGATAGTACAGTTGAGGCCCATCTTTCTCGTCGTATCCAGCCAACAGCAGATTTACGTGATATGGAGACTAAAAATGTTACACCGTTTCTGAATTGATATCCATCATAGTATTAAATATATAGAAATGATATATGGAATTAAACTTACCCTGGTACGCAGTGTGTCAGCTAAATTTCGACGTGTGAAATTTGCTGCCTCTTGGGGACTCAATTCGTAAGTATTCCTCATTTTGTATAGCTGTATGTTCTTCGCTATGTACTCTGCAAATTGAGTCGTATCTCCAGACTCACCAGACACCGCCATAACAAGTTTGTTGGACAATTTATACAGTTTATTTTCATCTGAAATGTACTGAATAAAGTAAAAGGATGGTGTTAATTTCCAGCAAATTTACCTGTTTTCATCACAATAATGCTCTGGGAACTGGTCATATCAGCAGCAATTATAACGAAATCATTAAATTTAATTCCTATTAGACACTCCATTGCGAATTATTAAATCTATAATGGAAAAGATGCTTTGTAATGAAATATTACTCTGTACAGGTTAAGTTTATAGAAACCTGGATTGTCATAAAATTTCAACTCATCTGTTAGGTTAGAAATGCGCAAACGCGCCGTGTTGCCATATCAATTATTTTTCATAGTTTCTAATTAAAAGCGGATATATTAAAAAAATGTATTAATGTATCAAAACTTGTTTTATTGTGCATTGCAGTCAACGATTATATAAAAGTATTTTTAAACACTTACGATAGTGAACATTAAAATTTATAAGCGAATAAAATTGAAAAATAATTTCTGACAATGATCCAACGTTGCCTTGTTTCCCACTCGTTCGACAATTCAATGTTTTTCATTCCACGGGTTTGTTTTCTCTTTGCGCACTTTGCTAAAATCTGTCACAGTGGTGAAACATATGTAAAAATTCTCCTCTGCAACTTAATAATTTTATTTTAAATCAACGACTAATGCAGATGTAATTTAGGTGAGTCGTTTTATATCTTATCCAGACTTGCATTTGATTAATTTAGTAGGCATCACAGTAAAATTTGTCTTGTAGTGTGTGTCCTTCAGCAAAAACTTTCATTTGTCATTCGCTAAAAAATGCAATATTTTTTGGCAATTTCACTATACATTTTTCATATTCATTCGAAAAATCCCTTTCGTTTTTTGTAAGTAACTTGTAACAGCGCTGATTGCACCTCTTTTACGTCCATACAACTGTTGTACTAAAATGAAACGCAAAAACATTGGTAAAATTCCGTGTCTTATTTTTAAACGTTTTTTTGTCATTTTATTTATTTTTTACCAGATATGGGTTCCGACAGTTCCTCGTCTTTCGGAGATTGCCCAAAAGCAAAGAAATCAAAAACCTCAGAAGAAGCAATTTCCACATCATATTGGGCCCATTTACCCTCAGTATTGTTACATGATATTTTTGACTTGTTAAATAAGGAAGACAGAAAAAATGCGTCTGCCGTTTGCAAGCACTGGAGGCAGAATTTGTTTCACCCAAAGTGAGTACCTGGATTCTAATTTTTTATCGTGGGCCTTTTCGAATCACCGTGTTTTCATTTAGGTACTGTTTCTTTTTTGACAAGGATGTAGTCATATTTATTTAACATTTAATAAATAAATAATTTAAGTGATTTAACATTTATTAGCACACATATTTAATAATGTAGATACATAAGAGCTAGCATACTGGAAAATTTTATTTGTTAAACGTTTATCTTACGAAATATTTTGAAATCAATAGTATTTACTGCAATGCAATTTTTTGACCTTATTTTTTGTACGTTTGAACTTTTGTGACTGTGCCAAAATAATATTACCTTTGATTTATATATTTTTTTGGAAAAGTAAACACACTTCGCAACAAAAATAACATTTTATTTATGATAAAGTTGCTTATTGACAATATAAATAAATATAAAACTATTGAAATACAAGGTGTCTTAAAAAAAAGGTTTGAACGAGTTCAGATAGTTGAGGACAGTTAAAACTATTTCCGTTGCTGCTAATTACTCACTACTTTCAACAACAATACTGATAATATCTGTATTGAATAATAAAATCTTATATAACTCTTATGTAAGAACGATGTAGTGGCAAAAATGTAATAAGTTGGATCAAACTTAATTATTTATTTATTCTGTACGTATTTGTTACTTGTTACTTTTGAATGTAAAGACATTTTTGGTATATAAGTGTTGTGTTTTTGTAGATTTCTACGTGTCATTCTTTCTGTAAAACAATGTTCAGTTATATTCAATTATATAAACTGCAGATATTATAAATGTGTAAAGAGGTAAATTTCCTTTTGTAAAATTGAAATAAAATGTAACTGGTTAAAGGAATTTCAAAAAGCATCTGATAAGAATGAAACTGTTGCAAGATCTCGTGACATTTTGCTTGGAATAGTTTTGCATATTAATGTTATAAATAATTCTACTGCTTGTCAGGTTCTATATACACAATTAGATAAATTCATACCATAGTTTGATGTAATAAAATTTTAAGTACCTATATGTTTGTTTGTTTATAGATAAATCACCTTCAGTATAATCAGAAAAAAAATTTCCTACGTGTTGCATATTATTGTTGATTACAGTAAAATTAAATTAAATAAAGTATAAGCGATTAAAGTTGTTGACTGATATATATGATATTAAAACTTTCACATACTTTTAATACAAATTCCTTTATGTATGATATGTGTTTACTTTTCCTCTGCTAAAACAAGTTTGTGAAATATACCGTGACTTGCGTTCTCAAGGTCCCATTATTACTTTGAGATACCATTCAGTGTTTTAGTGAATGTAAGCATCTTTTTTTTCTAAATGAAATACAGGGTGTTTATTAAGTACTTGTACAAACTTTAAAGGGTGAATCTTTGACTAATTTTAAAATAAAAAATTCACTGAACATGCGTCCGCAACGGCTTGGTCCTTGAGATACGGAGCGTTTAAAAAAAATTTTGGTTTGGTGTTTTGAGTATATTTTTGTTCAATAACATGGCAATATGACAAACTCGGGAAACTGGGCATATTGATGATGAGAGACTCAAATATTTACTTAGTTTTTTGTTTAATGTATGTCATTTTTGACTGAACATACCTATTTTCCATTAAATTTTACGTACAACAGCCCTTTTGGTAAAAAAACGGGTTTAAAGTTAAACTTGCCTTGGAATTTTGAAAGTTGAATCGTTAAGAGTTTTTGAAAAACAAGTCAAAAAATATGTCTTTTGTTGATTGTATTGCGATGTGACAAACTTAGATCATTTAAAAGTCTAAGACTAAACTACTTTTACAAATAAGTTAATACCATTTACAATAATTGCTGAAACAAAAATTTTTTTTTGAACGCTCTATATCAAGAACCAAGCCGTTGCGGTTCTATGTTCATATGAACTTTTTATCTTAAAATTAGTCAAAGATCAATCCTTTAAAGTTTGTACAAGTACATAATAAACGCCCTGTATAAGTCCTTACCTTATTAAATAAAATGTTAAGTTATTTTTTGATAACTTGTTGCTAATTTCTTTTTAATAATATATTCAATCAAATTCAAACATTTTTCTAAAAAATCTTACCAAATGAACTCAAACAATATTCTTCGATACCAGAGATCTGAGTATGCAAAATAAAGGCTGCTACAAATTTACTTATCACTACAGGGATCTCGAAAACGGTAAGAGGTACGAAGTAGCTTAAATGGGGGCAAAGTTGCGTAATCAGGGGACTAACATTATGCCTCTAAAGAATTCAGGTTTAGTTTTGGAAATATTTGAAAAAAATCGAAATTTTGGAAATTCGTTTTTGTTTCATTTCAGCCTTGTTTGATGTGATATTGAAACAAGAAGAACACTTTCTCATGTCAACTATTTGCCCTCTATCGAATGGCATAATCAATTTTTATATGTAACGTTTCGTCTTTCCAGGACCATCATCAACTTCATTTTTTTAAATACACCCTTGAACATTTTATTACATTTTTTGCAAGCCCTCATGAGCCCTAATACTGTACTGCCTCAGCCCGAACTAGATTCAGACGTTTTGTCTTGAAAAATTCATCTTCAATGTATTCGTTCCAAATTTATCTAAATTTGGTGTAAGTCGGTGCTAGTCGGAACATGTAGTCGATAGAATAGTATAGTTTCCTGCAATATCAACAGTTGAGAATCTTGTCTGTGGGGATTAGATAGATTTTATAGAAAAATTATTGAACTGGTTTGAATGAGAAAAGTAAAAAAAATATTGCTGGTTTCTAGCTTGAAAATAACTTGATAATATCCAATTTAATATCATCAGTGTAAACTTTTTAGATGGTGGCCCACAATGACATTCAAAATAGAACAAAATAATATACAAAAAGCTAGGTTTTACATATACACGTTCGGCAAACTCGTAACAGAAGCAAGAATCGTATTAAACTCATTGTCGATTGAATGTATGGAGGAATTTATTAATTTATTGCAGTTATTAAGTGAAAATAATAATTTGAAGAGTTTGATCGTCGAACCCACCCATTGCCGTTTTGAGGTACCCTCCAAGATTATAGGAAGCTGGTAAGCATTTTCAAATATGTTTGGGTTGTATGTTTAAAACTGTTAACAGTATAAAGCCTTACATCTGTGACGTCACTACAAGGTGTAACTTTGATCGGGGGCCATATTTATACACATGCTACCTTTGACCATCAGAAACACATATTATAAGTTGTTTTCCTCAAATTCCTTCATGAAAACTGAATTTTTTTCAATCATGTTTCCTAATTTACATATGACATAGAAATTTAACGACGAAGACACACAAACACACCATAACATTGCTAAACACTGAAATAAGTAACTTTATAAGGTTTATTAATTTTGCTTTCAATTTTACTATAAAATTAAACTTTATGAAAGAAAATGCTGTACTATACAAATATTGTAAAACTAAAATGTTGACATTTCACATCAGGCATATTGATAAGTAGTACACAAAATGTGTAATAATAACGAGCGTTCAAATAAAAACATGGTCAAGTTGGTTTTGAAAATTTTGACGTAGGGCGTAGCGTATAGGAAATGAACTTAAACGTCATCTGTCAAAGCGCTATATCGCCGCTATCAATTTGAATATTTTCGTTTTAAAAAGCGTTTAAAATGGTGTTTTCTCAAGAACAAAAAGTGTTTATCATAGAGTCCTACTTTAGAAATGGACGCAAGATTGATGGAATATGGAAGTATTCTATTGAGGAATGTTTCATAGAATTTCAAAATCAATTTCCCGGCGTTGTTGAGTACAAAATTTTTCAAAGTGCAGTTCAGCGTTGTGTTAATGTTTTTCGTGAAACGGGCAGTGTAACAAGAAAAGAAGGAAGCGGCCGACCTAAAAAGCGGACTGAAGAATTAAAAGAAAATGTCCAACAAATAATGGAAAATGCGCCAAGAACTTCTGTACGTGTTTTATCACAAATGGTGGGAGTATCAGTCGGTACCTGCCACACAGTGTTAAAAAAAGATTTGCGTTTGTTCTCCTATCGTTTAACTTGTCAGCAAGAACTTCATGAAGTTGATTTTCCGCGACGGGCTGTATTTTGTGAATGGTTTTTAAACAACTACGGTGAACTTCATAATATCACCTTTTTTTCTGATGAAGCCTGGTTTCATTTAAGTGGTTACGTAAACTCACAGAATATGAGAATGTGGTCTTCTGAAAAACCAGATAACTTTTTTGTCGAGGGCCCTCTACACGCTCAAAAAATTGGAGTTTGGTGTGCTCTCAATCGAAGGAGGATTTATGGACCTATTTTTTTTAATGGTACTCTTACTGCGCAAAGGTATAGAGAAGAAATTATCGCTCCTTTTGTTAACCAGCTGGAAGAAAACGAAATTACAAACTTTTACTTTCAACAAGATGGCGCAAGGGCACATACGGCAGGCGAGACGATGAATATGTTGAGGGAAGTTTTCCAAAATCGACTAATAAGTCTCAATGCTGAACATGAATTTCCACCGAGGTCATGTGATATTACGCCGTGTGATTTCTTTTTGTGGCCTTACCTTAAAAACACTATTTTTGAACTGCCTATTCCTGATTTAAACCATCTGCAGGCTCGACTTATAGACAAGATTCGTGAAATTAACAATACCCCGAGCATCTTAGAAAATGTCTTTAATTCTTTGAGGAACAGGTGTGAAAAGTGCTTGGAACAAGGAGGGGGACACTTTCAGCAGCTGCTTTAATTTATTGTTATAACAAGGAGGGGGACACTTTCCGCAGCTCCTTTAATTGTTTGTTATTGTTATCACGATTATTCTTTAAAATAAAGTTATATAGTCATTAACGTTATTGAAACTGACAGCTGCTATACAGCTCGTTGAGAAATGAGGCTAAGTTGGTCGCTATAAGCTACTCCCTACGTCCAATGTGTCAGAGCCAACTTCGACCACGTAACGCTCGTTACTAAAAACTGTTTATTCAAATGTAATTTGGTAAGTGCATGTAGATTTTTGTTATCAGACCCATTAAAAATCATGCAAAATATATAAATCTTTTGCACATGACTTAAAAAAAACTGATTATAACTCAACTATTTATTTATTACAAAAAAACTAACACGTAGAGCAACAATAGAACTAATTAGTGATTTGATGACAAAAATATTAGTAGCAAACAGACTGTGCCGTCATATAAAAGACAGTCCGTAGATATATGCTTATATGTTTTCTGCTCCAATTTACCATTAATTAATTTTTTATGCAAAAAAATGCATTGTTTTTTTAGTTTTTTGCTGATAAAACCTAAACTAACGAAACAATCTAAATGCTATACAGAGACAATTTGTAGAGAATCGAAATACGGATAAAACGAGAGATCAATGAATCCGATTGGATAATTAGAAACGAAGAAAACCCGAAAAAATGGGAAAATTTAGCGTTTTTTTTTTAATTCATTACTCTGCCATTTTTTAAGTTGTAGAGGGGACACTTAAAGTTACACCTTATATATCATTTCATTTTTATTGCTTTATCTATTAACATATCTGTCACCGCTAAAGTGACGTGGAACGCGAAGCGTTGAGTCTTTACGACGTAATGTCCTAATACTTTTTTCTTGTTATGCCCAGTGATGACCCGTGGAATATAATGAAGTTGTTGAGGCCCTGCTTACCGAAACTAAGCACGTTTAGTATAGGTTGTATAGAAGATTTAACTTATTTTCTGGATGATATTTTAAAGAATCTTTCGCCATCGAAGGTGACTCATCTTGGACTAGCATCCGTGAAGGATGACCCCGTTAAATACGAGGTGGCATATTTCGATCCCGAAATGATCGCTCCTTTTACCAAATTAAAGGTGAGAGACGTAATTTGTTCCGTTTTGGGTGTCGTGTACGTTCGTATTTTTTTTTTTTTTTCAGGTATTAAGCATAGATTATGACCAGTTGTCCGATGAATTTTTATATAAGTTAGAGACAGCTAAACAGTTAGAGAGATTAGTAGTACACCTGCATGGCGTCCGGAAGAATCACCCCGGCACCACGAACAAGGCGTGGGACGATTTCCGACGGGGCCATCCGACTTGCGAATTCCGACTGACCGTCATACACGCCTTCAAGGACATCAAGAGCATCCACGAGACCGTCATGCGCCGCTTCATGCCCCTGTCGCACCTCAAGGTGTTCTTCTGCGAGAGTGTAAGTGACGTTTTTCTTTGCGACTGCGTTCTTTGACTTCTCGACGATGAATTTTTGACTTAGCTCGTAAAAATGAAAATGTGTTTGTTAGCGTAACTTTTATTCTTGTATCGTGTCCTGTTTTTCCTCTTTGCGGATAATTTGTTGTTTGTTTTTTGGTCTCGTACAAGATTTCTTCCATATGCCACCATACATAAAAATCAAGAGGTGTTAAATCTGGAATTGCTGGAGGGAGATCGATGCCATGGCGTGCACGGAGCCCTGATCTAATGCCTCTTGATTTTTATGTACAAGGGCATATGAAAGAAATCATGTATGTGACAGAAATACTCACACGGCGATAACGTAGTAATGGAGTTCAAGACTCAGCAGTAGGTATCCAGAACAATGTTTTATCAAATTTAACTTTTTTACGGCCAAAGTTGGATTTAGCCCGTTTAATTTTATTATTTACTTGTGTTATTACATATACCGACACAAAACACAAAGATATTGACAAAAAAGTGTCATTTTCTTAAAATTGAACGTATTACCTCAAAGTAAAAAATTTAAAACTTGCACAAGGAAACCTAATTTGCTCCTCTAATTTGCGTTTTTGTAAGATTCTCTTCTCTCTCTTAGGTGAACCTGGAACTCGTTCAGAACCTTTCCTCCCACTACGGGGAGACCCTGCGCAGCATCATGTGGGTGGACTCCATCAGCCACAACGACAACAGTTGGATCTTCGTCAAGCCCTTGTTCGACGAGAGCCCCGACCCTTTCGTCCTGGCGGCGTGGCTGTGCAAGAATCTGGAGGAGTTCGTCTTGTACGGTTACAAGTACTGGGAAGAGAACCTGGTGGCTATCGGGCGGCTCCGCGGCGAACACTTGAAGAATCTCGAGATAGCCGAGCACGATATTATCTTTTACCCGGGGCCCAATCTGGAGGACGCTTTGTTGGTGAGTTTTTTTTAGCCGCTTGTTCGGATCGAGGTAGAAAGTTGCGACATTTGTTGTTTTTTATCCAAGTTATTGTGACTCGAAAAAGGATGTCAGAAATGTATTGAACTGACATTTACTTGGACGGTATGTACGTAAAAAAATTGGTTAAAATAACAGGTTTCAAAGAAATTTGCGACATTTATTGCGGAGAAATTGATGTTTCAAGCTAAAATTCATTAAAATTTTTAAATATTTCGTCTTTGCATTTGCTATTTTTGATTGATCAGAAAATTGGCCAAATTATATTGGTTTATACATAAATTGTGGTAAATATTCTATCTTCAATAAGTTGGTCAAAAAATTTAAAATGATCAAGTTAATTCTAATTTATTGCCCAGTTTTGGTGAATTTTAGTGACTTCTAATATTTATATAAGTGTAGGCGAAGTAGGTAAGAAACTTGCGACATTTATTGCAACAAATTTTATGTCGCAAGTTTTGAATTTGCGTCATTTATTGGGAAGAAATTGAAGTTTTAAAATTTTAAAATGTTTCGTCTTAATGTATTTTGCATTTGCTATTTTTGATTGATCAAAAAATTGGCCAAATTATATTGGTTTATACATAAATTGTGATAAATGTTCCTAGCCTCAATAAATTGGTCAAGAAATTTAAAATGATTGAGTTAATTCTAATTTATTGCTCAATTTTGGTGAATTTTAGTGACTTCTAATATTTATATAAGTGCAGGTGAAGTAGGTAAGAAACTTGCGACATTTATTGTAACAAATTTTATGTCGCAAGTTTTGAACAACAAAGGAATCAAAGAAGTTTGTGAGAAATTTGCGACATTTATTGGGGAGAAATAGATGTTTTAAAATTTTAAAATGTTTCCTCTTAATGTATTTTGCATTTGCTATTTTTGATTGATCAAAAAATTGGCCAAATTATATTCGTTTATACATAAATTATTGTAGTAAATGTTCCAGATTCAATAAATTGGTCAAGAAATTGAAAATGATTGAGTTAATTCTAATTTATTGCCCAATTTTGGTGAATTTTAGTGACTTCTAATATTGATAGAAGTGTAGGCGAAGTAGGTAAGAAACTTGGGACATTTATTGCAACAAGTTTTATGTCGCAAGTTTTGAAAAACACGAATCAAAGAAGTTTGTGAGAAATTTGCGACATTTATTGGGAAGAAATTAACGTTTTAAAATTTTAAATTGTTTCGTCTTAATTGCTATTTTTGATTGATTAGAAAATTGGCCAAATTATATTGATTTATACATAAATTGTGGTAAATTTTCCAGCTTCAATAAATCGGTCAAAAAATTGAAAATGATCGAATTAATTCTAATTTATTGCTCAAGAGAAATTTGCGAAATTTATTGGGAAGAAATTGAAGTTTTAAAATTTTAAAATGTTTCATCTTAACGTATTTTGCATTTGCTAATTCTGATTGATCAAAAAATAGTCAAATTATATTGATTTATACATAAATTGTGGTAAATGTTCCAGCTTCAATAAATTGGACAAGAAATTGAAAATAATTTATTGCCCAATTTTGGTGATTTTTAATGACTTAATATTTGCTCAGTGATACCAACTGTAGTTACATTTTATCATTTTGACACATAAATACACACAGTAAATTGACTAATTATTGGTTACAAAATTGGTAAAATTAGTAGAACAAGTTTAGGTGAAACAGGTAAGAAACTTGCGACATTTATTGCGACACATTTTATGTCACAAGTTGTGACAGAAATTTAGTGGCACACACTTTTTTCCAGCATTACACGTTCAGTGTCTAGCAAACATTAATATCGCTGATCTGCAGAAAAAAATTACGTTGTTAGCCTTAAATTTGACCAATAAATTGGCCAATTTCTTGAGCATTTTGTTGCCTGAAAAATTGCTAAATATAGAGTAGATGCAGATTTTTTGGATTTAAAGACTGTATCGCTATTGAACATTGCAGGACATTCCAAAGAGCTTGCAGAAGCCTTGGAAGCCGACACAGCAGGACGAGCTTCATCCCGTGATTTGTAACCCGACAGATGGTGATTCGGATGAATACCTGTTGCCAATAGTCCTAGCAGACTTGCACTAGTTAAGTACTACATCTGTAAAATAAAACCTAAACATCGTTTTTTTAAACTTTTTAAAATTTCAATACGTTTGTTCTGTTTATTGTTGTTTTGCGGAACATCAAGTACCAGGCTATGCAGGGCGTCACTTTTCCGTTCGTTTACAGCATCGTTTTGTTTTGTTCGCCCTACGGCTGCTTTTCGCCAGCCGAGGAAAAACGGATATTATTTAAACGGATGTCAGTGGGGTTACTTTTACGTTTATTCTTTGTTAATTATTATTTCCGAGAAATAATATCGAGAGAGCTTTGCATTTTCCAGCGGATTTTTTTTTTAAAGATACTTGACGTGCAAAGATTGACGTGTTTTTTTTTAAATAAAAAAAAGTAGAGATAAGAAGTAAAACATCTGTGATATAGTAAAACTCTTATTGAAAAAAAAAAGCAAGCGGAACGTAACAACGATTGTTAACACAAATAAGCGAATAATATTTTGCCACTTGTAACAAACTACTACGTACCTGCGAGATCACGGACTTTTCGCTCGGAGAAAAGGAGCAGCGACGAGTCTTGCCGATCAGAGAATGTGGTTTAAGCATTTAAATTCACCGGAACTTGGGTGTTGTTGAGTTTTATTTAATCTATCTTTATTTCAGTTTTCGGGGCGATTGCCTCTGAATTTTGTAGTGTTTGCACAAACTTGGTACGAGAAAACTGTTGTTATAATTATCTTCAACGAGGTTATACATCTAATCTCATTGTATTTCAGTTTTCGAGGCGATTGGCTTTGAAATTTGTAGCGTTTACGCAAACTTGAAACCACAAAACCATTATAATTATTTTCAACGAAGTTGTACATCTAATCTACCTTTATCTTAGTTTTCGGGGCGATTGGCTTCGAATTGTTGTAGCGTTTGTGCAAACTCGAAACCACAAAACCATTGTTACAATTATTTTCAATGAAGTTGTACATCTAATCTATCTTTATTTCAGTTTTTGGTGCGATTGACTTTGAATATTGTAGCGTTTGCGCAAACTCAAAACCAGAAAACCGTTGTTAAAATTATTTTCAACGAAGTTGTACATCTAATCTACCTTTATTTCAGTTTTCGGGGCGATTGGCTTTGAATATTGTTGCGTTTGCGCAAACTCGGAACGAGAACACCATTGTTATAATTATTTTCAATGAAGTTTTGCTTTTAATCTATCTTTATTTCAGTTTTCGGGGCGATTGGCCTTGAATTTTGTAGCGTTTGTTAAGTTTCAATATGATTATTGAATTTGTTTTATGATTAATTTGTGCGACCTTGAATGTTTATTGTTTTTGCGCAAACTTATAACAAGGAAAACTGTAGTTGTAACTGCGTTAAAGTTAATCTGTTTTCAGTGAAATTACAGACATTTAGTCCATCTTTATTTTAGATTTCGATGCGATAAATGTTAACAATTTGTGTAGCGTTTGTGCAAACTTGGAACAAGAAAACTGTGGTTATATTATCAGGATTTTAATCTGTCGGGATGTTGAATAAGTTCTTGCTGTTTTTTCGTGGAAATTAGTGCTTCATTTGAAAAAATTTGGTAAAAACCATGAAAGTATCGTCGATCACTAGCCAGTACTATTTCCCATCTTTCCAGCAGCATTTTAATTCTACGTCGGAAACACGACATGTCTCTTGAGGCTAGGATGCGAAGGTCGTTCAATAAGTCCTTCGAAAAAAATAGAAAAACATATTACTTCAGGCAGATTTTTTAAATTTTTGACATAATCTCCTTTTAACTCTATACATTTTTCGAAGCGTTTCTCCAACTTTTTTTTTAAACCATCTAAAAAGTAAGATTTCGGAAGGTCCTCAAAATAAGCATCTGTTTGGGCGATCGACGTGAACCGTTGTCTGCCGAGCAATTTTTTTAAGTTTGGAAATAAAAAACAGTCACTGGGGGCCAAATCCGGTGAATACGGTGGATGTTGTAATAATTCGAACTTTAATGCCATGATTTCGGCCATCGAAACTACACGGGTGTGCACCCGAGCATTGTCTTGGTGGAAGATATTTTTCCTTTTCAAACGAGGTTTTTTCTTGATTTCTTCGCTCAACCGGTTCAATAACGACACATTATACTCTCCAGTGATTGTTTTCCTTTTTCACACCCAATTTTTTGTGCAAAATTGAAAATGCCTTGCAATATGTATGTGGCTTTAACTATTTTGTGGACTTGCCAATCATTTCGGGAGTAGTCACTTAGCGTCCTGAACGATGTTCATCTTTTGTGGATGTAGAGCCAGGTTTACACTTGTTTATCCAATTGTGAAGAGGAGCAGATGTGCACTGAACTTTATCCAACTCGGCTTTGATTTCTTTCAGTGTTAAACCTTTTAAATGTAAGTTTGTTTAATCACCGCTCGAACCTCACTTTTCTCCATTTTTCTAAATAAACAAATTTAACTGAGACTGACAGCTGTCAAATTATTTTCTAAGCGACCAGTGCCATCTCTTGGATTTTCTATGGACTTATATAGTACTTGTTTGGTGGGTTATCAATTTAAACTGCACGCTTGCAGTTCTGGTAACGCCATCTGTTGGAAAACAGCGAGAACTTATCCAATGAAGTGAACTTTTATTTTTAGTACAATTAATGTTATATTTTCATGATGTTTGCGCAAACTTTAAACATGAAAACGATATGTAATCTATCTTTATTTTAGTTTTGAGTACGATAACGTTGATTTTTGTAACGTTTGCGCAAACTTAGAAGAAGAAAATCACGGTTATAACCCACATGAACACCTGTCAATCTATTTTTGGTGAAGCTAGGCATTCGGTGTACCTTTATGTTGGTTTTCAGTACGATTAACGCTGGTTTTTGGTAGGGTTTGTGCAAATCTAGGAAGAATTAAAGATAGATTAATCATCTTTAGAAGAAATAAACCACATTCTGTTCGGCGAGGGCCCAAAAATCTTTCAGTATTAGAAATGCGGAATGTAACAGATTTAACTACCGATAGCGTAACGTAATATTTACCAAAGATTATTGCAGCCAAACCACTTGATAAATATTATCGAACTAGTGATGCAAAAGACAGATGTAAATAACAATAACGGAATATTAAAGACTTAAACATCTGTGGCAAAAAAAGTACTGAAAAAAAAAACAAACAATCCGAAAGTTAACAATCTAAGAGAATAAGAGTATGTGTGTGTCCTGCATCGTTTAATTAAAAAAAATAAAGTTATGCATTTTTAACCGTTTTGTTTTTTGTCTGTTGTGATTGTTGAAAGAGTAACGATGATTTAGAGAAAGTATTAATAACACCGTTTTATATATTTTGCGTTTTTTACCCTTATTGTTGTATTTGTCAACTTAAGCTCGTTCTGTATTTATTTATTTTATCGTTAAGTATTCGCGACAAGATCGTTGACAAGCACGAGATATTTTAATTTATCGAACGTGTCGAATATTACCAAAGTGACACGACGAATCAAACAGCGTTCCTAATGTTAAGCCACAAGAGACCAATATAATGTGGATCTAGAACAAAATAGCCATTCCAAATAATTTATTCCTTAGATATTTTATAAAAACCGGGAGCAGGTATTTTCGGATCGGTAAACTCGATCGGTCCAGGTAATGCGCCTTCGCCAACCCAACACGCTGTGATAGAGATGTAACCTCACAAAGAATGCCCCATCCCCCGATCAACGGGTGGATCGCTGAGAAGAATCTGTCTTTCGCCAATTCGCTTTCGAAAATGAATTTTTGAGGTTATGGGCGCAGCAGCGCCACCTACAGATGGCGCTGCGTGTCAACGTTGTAACAATCGAGTGCTCTTCCCGAAGTAACTTCAGTTTCTCATCGATCCACCCGACGGCATTAGCTGGCACCGCAAAGCAAGCACGAATGATCTTAAGAGACGCAAAATATCTGCTCCGTTAAGAACTCTCAAAAAGGGATTAACTGAGATATATGTAAATAAGAATGTTAGAAGATCGCGTACCTGACTACCAAGTGATTATAGCAAATCTTTAGCCTGCTATTGTAACTCGTAAACTAGTCCAAAACGTTAAACGTTGATGAAATAAAATCTTTATATGTATTATAGTGTATGTGTGAATTTGTAGAAACTATCCTTACGAGCGTTTCCTGGTTGATAACGGGACATCGTCCATTTCGACGGGTATAGATGGCGCCAATTCCGTACAGCCCTGTCGGGGGTTTTATGAGAGTGTCGCCATCTAGTGTTCCCATTCCTAAGTTGTCTAACTATAGGTATATGAACGAAAGTTTGGCAAATGGTCTTTGAAAGTTTCTCGTATAAAAACGAATCGTTTACTAATAAGATTTACGAATTTACCACCTATTACGATCTGGTAATATTTGATTGATTTGAGTGGTATAGAAAGTAGTTGGGACGTTTTTACATACATTTTCTTCATTTATCGGAAGAAATACAACCAGATCATGATATGCCATCGATCTAGTACAGGACCAAAGCAACACCAACTAGAGATAGTTTTTCGAAGTTAGCAAAAATTTTTCTTCCATTAAACATTACGGCGGCTTAATTTTAAGCGTCCCTCAAACACCTTGCGTTACACCACTCGCTCTCTCGGAACTCGAACTCCCAGGGCTTCCTCTTCCGTTCTCCCCAAGAAACGCTCGTAAGCCTAGAACGTTTGGATCGTTAAGTTGCCATCTTATCATGTAACTATCTGTGATGAAAAAAATAAAAACGGACACATTGTTAACGGCGTACATATGTTACCAAGCGCTCATAAGTTACAATGTAGGTCTCCCCGAGGCGGGGTGGCGACGTGGAGCCGCCGGCCTCCGTAATATTCCAGTGTTGCCGATCACTTTCTGACATACGACGAGTCCCCCAGGTATGAAAGACCCGAAAAAAAACACTAAGACAATAAAAGAATAAGAGAGGCAACGCTCGATCTTCTTTTGTTTTAGCCCGCAATGAGTTCGTTTCACAGTCAGTCTCGAGCGGCTTCAACAAAAGAAGCTCAAAGGTTAAAACTGTCCTTAAAACGATATCAGTGAGATTTAGGGATACGGGCAGTGTAATTACACAAACGACTGGTATAATTTTATTTCGACACAATACTATCGGTAACTCTTGTTTAAGTTATAATTGTTTATCGTATATATTTTTTATATTCACTTTATTTGATAGCAGCGGGCTGCGGTTATCGGCAGTCTCCAGTGGATTCATTTTTTAAATGTGTCTAGTTTGTCATGGTATTTCTACCGTTTAAAGCATATGCAATTAGTGTATTGGTGTTATTGTTTCCTGTAATGATGTGAAATTAATGTGGATCGCTTCCGGCAAAGAGTTTTTCGCAGCTCGATTGACTTTTTACAAGAGAAATCTAACGTTTTAATACGGAAAGTGACTTTAGGTTTGCAGTTATTTAAATTTCTAATCTAATTTTGTCAGGATCTCTTGCGTTTTCAGAGGAAAAAAAATTAAACGTGATCACGCTCTTTGTCTTAGGAAGCGATTTTGTTTAGAAATTCAATCCATTTATATTATGTGTTAGTTATAGTGTTATAGAATTTGAAGATTGCACTATAAAAAAAACAGTAGCACCAATGTTTTTTATCTCGTAATAATTATAATATAAAAAAAATTGACAGAGAAGAAATTTAAATTTGTTTTTTTCCGTAGTTCTGTAGTCTAGTGAGTAGCGTAGATGTAGTTTCATTTTAGCGTAGTAATAACAAAGTGTAGTTCTTTCTTCGATGTTTAAAAAAAAATGTCAGATTTAATATTTATCCATTTATATTGGGTGTTATAAATTTAGTTTTGTTTTCACTGTAAAAATGTAATCTAATTTTAATAATACATTTTTTGGCACTTCACTACTCGTTTCATCTAATCCTATACCCCACAATTTTATTTCCCAATTAATCCTAGACGAATCCGAGATTGTTACAAGAATTTACTTTCAAAACTTTTTCTTTTCAAACATTTAAAAATTTTATAGATTTTTCTGATTTAAATGAACTGTAATTGCTTTTAAATCTAAGTACTCTTGCAAAAGAATGTTTTCTCCAACTTTTCAACATCGCAGAATGGAAATGGGTTAAAAAACATGAGTCCCATATTCTTTTTTCATTTTGACCTCGTGTAAGTCGTACACGAAATATAAATATGTTTTGTGACGTCATTTAGCGGAAGTTTCAAATTTGGCGCCCAACGTAGTAATTTTTAGTTTACTACAGTGGCAATATGCGCGCGTCAGCAGCAGCCTTCAGTGTTGCCAGACATAAACAAGGCTGAAAGAAATTACTAATGTAATTACTGAAATGATATTTAAAAAAGTTATTTTGGCAAATATCGTCAGACCCAGTTAAGTTTCTAGTTATCAAAAATTCCGAATAATATGGTTCTAACTGGCGTTTTATTAGTTTTACAAGTATATTTTGCAATCCAAAAAACGTCTAATTTGTGGCAAATCGCTCAATCTGGTAATCTCTCCCATTTTGTTCAATGGTGAACTTGCATATATTTTTTAAATGTCTGAAAATTTTGTAATTTGATTCTACTTCTCAATTTTCATATTCATAGAAGAATATTTCTCGGAGGGGAAGAAGATATTAGAACTATTTAAAATGAATTTTGGTGGGGAAAAGTAGTTTCAGATACATACAATGAGCTTTGTTAAGAAAATTACCTCGTAATGCAACATATAACAAAAAACCGTGTTTTTCGTACTTTTAGGTTAGGATATCACTAAAACCCGGAAAGATGGAACAATTCTGAGGTCGAATTTGGATTCAGTGCGTCCAAAATCTTCGGGAAACTGTTGTCTGGTTTCTGGTTTAGGTCAATCACATTTTGTCTTCCTGTTTTATCGCAGTGGACGCAGAATAATTCAATTGATTGAATCGTATTTAAAAAAAATCTGTGTAGAAATATGTATTTTAAAAAAATTTACATTTCATTGCGATTGAAGAAAACTACCACATTATCCTCAAAACTATTCCAGGTTTTCTTTTTTGGAGTTCAGAAAATAAGTTTCCATATAGTAAAATCATAATAAATATTTAAAAACTAAGAACACATGCATTAATAAAAACCGCAACATCCTCACTATAAAGAAAATGTGTATGACGTCACAAATTACCATCTTCACGTAAACCTTGATTTATTTGAACTAACCTTCTATTTTGTTTGCTTGGATAGAATAAAGTTATTTTGTTTTCGTGTTTTCAGTCGATAAAATCATGTTTTAAGAGCAACTATAGAAAATTTTTCAAATATTGTTTTGAAAATAGCAAAAATTTAGTAAAATCAATATCACATTTATTAAAATTTCCGATTTTTTAACATAGGCATTGTAAAATTTTTACTTAATTTTTTTAATATTTCCCAATAAGTTTAACAGAAAAATTTTTTAATTAAATCAATATTTTAACGTATTGTACCTAATTATATATAGGTATTTATTAGGTTTACCTACCTCTTACAAAAAAAAACAAACATTTTTTACTCATAGAAAGCTTATACTTAAATCTTTTTTAGCATCTACCTCTACCTCTTCATAAATAGAAAAAATTAGGTGATCTTTTATTAATTTTTTTTACAAATAGAAGAAAGTCAAATAAAATAAAAATACCTATACCTACTTATCTAATCTGCGTATTTCAAAGAAAACGGCAGTTCAAATAATCAAGTAGGTCAGCATTTCAATACATTGAAATTATTCTAAATACCCACTAATATCTATAGGTACCTACCTATTTAGATATGACAATGGTATTGCCAGTAATTACCTAGATATGCAGGCATCATTAATTAAACCTTTTTCTTGTTTTTTTTTAATAGCATAAGTATTTATTCGAATCTAATCCAGAAATGTAGAATTAAAAGAAACCCCCAGGCGGGGGATAATGTTACAGTTATCAGATTACATAAACGAATTTTGGCTTATTTTATTACGTCACCTTCTATCGGAAAGAAGCAGATTTGGGAGCACCCTGCTCTTTCATTTCATACGCCGATAGGTAATAATTAAACAACGGACGTACGTTTCCAGCTCACACGTCCCGAACACGCTTACGCGAGCGAGACAGATAGGTCAGTGGGGTTTTGTTTTATATGATTGGCTCGGAAGTATAATGCAAACAACTCCGTGTAGCATAACTTGCGGTGTTAAAGATACACTTTTAAACTTGTTAGAGTGAAAGAGATAATCGGGCAGATGTGGGACTTGTATCGTACGCCGTATGAATAAAGCCCGTCCGGTGTGAGTCGCGAGGGACGTCGTTGAAAAACATCTATGACGGTAGGAGCGAAAGAACTGCTGAAATGTCTGAGCTAGCCTCGTGGAAGTGTAGACACAACACAAGGCCACGCCATATTGAATTGAATCAGTCGTCTGTTAATTTTGGCCTGGAGTGAAGTGGTGTCTCCCGGTTTATTTTTCCGTGTTTTGTGTAGAAAAATAATTAACAACAAATATATTGCTAACACACGGATAAAGCAATAAACAATGTTAATTAGAATAGTGAAACGCCTGTGTGTGCCTGGATAGTACATGGGTTTTTATTCAGAAAAGTGTGTATACAGGAAGATAATCGATTTGTCAACGCGAGTTTAGATTACAATTTCGGTGCACTAATTGACCCAAGGTGCGTTCAACCATTACCACACAACCGTATCATGTTTGGTGTCGTTTAACTCGGCTCCTCATGCAGATTCTCCTGGCGATGATCGTTTTGTGTAATTCCACCGTTTGAGCGATTTATTAAAATAAAAACAAATCGGAGCATCCCGCGGCCGTTCACTCTGCTCTCGGTCGCGGAGCTGGTCAAGAGAAGACTCACGTTCACAGTAGCTACATGGGGTTATCGCCGAGACGTGTGCTCTAGCTTGATTAACAAGTTTTGATAATTATTACCGGTGGTGAGGCTGAAGATCGGAGTGCGGGAGAGACAACGCTGTATTTACATAATTATTTATATTGTTCGCGCACCACTTTCTCGCATCTCTGTAGCTTTAATATCAATCCGATATATTTCACTAGCGCGCCGCGAATTATGCAGCCCATTATCTTGTGTAGATGATTGAAGTGTCCGCCAGTACCACATACATAACGAATTGTTTCATACGCAGGTGACTGATAATCTGGGGTCTCATGGAAAAAATGGAAGTCGATGAAGCTGTTGTGGATTTAAGTATTAGGTATGTTGTGCCACATTTCCATTACGCTGCCTTGAATAATCTCAATTACACACACTCCATTTTATCAGTACAATGACATCGTGCGGGAGGGGACACTTCAGATCGGATATTTTGCAAAAAATGCTTGTCATTTATTCAGAATTAACAGCGGGGAGCACGGAATTCACAGAATTACATAATTGTTTTGGATACGTGTTTGTTTAAGGCTTACCACTTAGTTGTAAACTTTAGTTTATGCATTGAATTCGAGCACATTATTTAGAAATGTCAAACATAACCTAAAACGTGTTAAACTGTCAAATGCCTCGATAAAACTTACGAATCCGCTGATAAATTGTAGTTTGAATCATTGGGAGTTTATTTTCTTCATTTAAGGAAGTAGTTGAATATGTAGAAAGTATTATTTTCATAGAAAAATAATAAATTAGGTGGTAAGTAGGTATAATGTGTCTTGGAGGGAAAACTTTTTTCTACATACCTATTTAAGTATTAAAACGAACACTTATTTATTTAATAGAGTTTTAATGTAGCCAATACATAGGTACCTACTTAAGTACTATGAAATTAAGGGAACTTTTTAAATACAAAATTTTCTTTGCTAATGAAAAAGAGACGACCTCGTGTGTGTTTAGCTCAACATAATTTTTATCAGATTGTATTGTAACTTGCATAACGAAAATGGCATAGCTCTTTTTGTTATATAGATTATATTTCTTTTTCCAATTCATTTTTATTGTTTCTGGGAAAACTTTAATCGTGTGACTCCTGTTCAGACAGGGTTTCGGTTATCAGTAACCAGATTAGATTTGCGATTGATTTATACAAATGTTAATTCAAGATCAAACCGCAGCTGTCAAAAGTTTCCATTTGATAATAAAAAGAAGTACAATATAAGTAACACATTATTTGGAATGTGATATGTTAAGATCTATATGATTAGACTGTCTTGAAAGTTTGAATTTAACTTTAATCTAAGCTTAAGTGAAATGAGGTTTACGTTTCCGTTTTATTTGTCTCACATCTTTGGAAAACAGTGAGATTCTCAGAATGATTCTTTCAGAACCAGTTTTCTATTTTATCAAATAAGTAAGTTAAAGTTGAATTTTATAAATCTATAATAGCTGACCACTGCAGGGGATAATGTGAAGGTGATTTTCGTGAGGACAACTTTTTTATTATATTCAAATTTGAACCTATTGAATTGACATGATATTTATCAAGTCATGGCGGATGTACACTACAAGTGAATAGATACATAAATAATTGCTCAAGTGAGGTTAAAGTTTTCTTTAAAATTTTGTTTCTGTAAAACTTGATATGTATTTAGAATTATATACCACTGTTGCTACTACCTACTAATATATACATATATGAATGTTTACGTTGAAAGTGACATTACTACTGGACTCATTGGCAGATAGCTTTTGCGGTGACAGGTAGTCGATGTAGTCGGCAAAAGTTGTTTACGAAAAACAAAAAATTGCCGCCGCCAATGATATTGCGGCTCGCTCAATGGTTGACTGATCCGTCTGCCGGGTGAAAGCTAGGAACTTGCACTCGGAGCTTAAAAATAAAAATCAGCGGAGAAAATCGTTGATTTGAACACAAATCTCTGCTTTTCGGGTCAAGGGTTAGGTTAGAATTGTCCGATAAGTGTTGGTTATGTCGCCGATTTGTTTTTTATTAACGTAGAAGCAAAAATATTAATTACAATTAATTGTTCTGACTAACGTTAGTTATAATATTTCTTAAACATGGTGTACATCGATATGGAAAACCTGATATTGTCAGGGAATTTCGTAGGACTGGGAAATATCAAAGGATTTTTTAAATTTTCGTGGAATTTTTTCAAATTATAATTGCAATCGGCAATCACTGGGTGTTAGTCGCTACCTGCTACTAGTATTACTAAGAATAAGTTAACGTTGTCCGTTTAATTCTTATTATTAGAATTTTATCTCGGATTTTGTTAAGAAAAAATAAAAATCTCTTCTTAAAAATCAGCAGTTTCGTTACTTGCAGTCGAATAGAAAACATTCTTGATCCCGAGCTTAAACATTTCTTTAAATATCGCGTAATTTGTTTGATATTACAATAACAGTTGTTTCTTTTTAAATAATATCCCATATGACACCTATTCGAAAAAAGTTAATTTATTTTCTCGAAAATGTTGGTTAAAAAAAGAAACCAACTAACACCATTGAAAAGAACACAAAAACTTACATTAGAATATTTCAATAGTTTTTTTTTAAATTTGATTCTAAAACTAAGTTACAGCTGTTTTAATTTCAATAAAATTCGAACGAGGTAGAATTTTTTTTCGGCGGAATGTTGCAAAATATCAAACTGTACACGATTTTCAGTATCTTTAATAGCTCCCGAGATCCTTATAATGATAATCAAATTTGATTCACTCTGTACATAAGTATAATGACCATGTGGAATTTTGTATACTAATTTAGAATAAAAAAATGTTTGTATTAGTTTTTGCTTGACTGAATATTAAATAAGCCTAATATACTGGTTCATTTTTAATTTACCAGAAAATTACCGTGTTTTAATTGGCCGAAATTAAAAATAACACGTCGTTTCAAAAAAATAATGGGACTTATTGGCCAAATTGGAACGGCTTTTAGAGTAAATATTTCCCATAATAAAGATTTTAATAATTTCTTCAAAGAAATAATGGAATTAACAGTTTTTGATTTTATGTAAACTAATGCAAAAAATTTGTCAAAAGAATTTCCGAAATTTTACCGTGATTTTTGACAAACTGTATTTAGGTGAAAAATGGTCGTATAGGGAATTAAAAAATAACAAATGGTCGTACAGAGAATTAAAGGGAAGTTTCGTAAACTGGAATAAATTTCCTATAACATGCTGCCGCAACTTTTCGGAAAAAAAATTTGTATTTCATCTTTTACACGAATTTTAAAAAACAGGAAAAAAGGGTAAATTACGGTTTTTTGAAAAATTGACGGATAAATTAGAAATATTCACGAAATAACTATTAATGTTGCAGGCATGACTTTTACAGTTCGATATACCCAAAAGATTCCTGTGAAGTTTCATCTCGATCTAGCCAGCCGTTTCTTTGTTTCAAACAGTGAAACTTTTGAAAAAAATTAAAGGGTCCCGTTTTTTGAGCTTAAACATTTCATAATCATGATTAAAGTGAAAAAAAATGTTTGAGGTTTTCTCACATTTTTACCGAAAATTTCGTTTAAACTGATGAAAAAAGAAACAAAATTCGAAAAATTTTTGAAGTTTCTTTTTGTTTTTTTTTTGGAAAACCTTCCGGGCATTGAAGAAAACAAAAACCAATTGTTTCCAGCACGATTCTGTCCTGTTCTGTTCATCAACTTTTAATTAAATTAAAATTAAAGTTGACCCAAACCAGATTTCGACACCGGTTCATACCGTTTTTTGAGACAAATTTCTAATTAATGTTTGTGCAGTCTATAATCACTAAAAAAGCTGCCTTTTTCCTTCTCTGAAAAAAAATTTCAAAAAATTCAAGTCTTGAAGATTCTAGTTTTGAAATCTTGAGAGTAAGGCAGAAATTTTACAATTTTTGTTTTTCAAAACTGCCCATAAGCTCAGATAATTTTTTTTCAAGGTTAAATTGTTGATTTTTTGATTTTTAATTTTAATTTAACGCGAAATTGTGACAAAAATAAAGCAAAAATTTATTTTCAGCTTAATCATGATTACCTAATTGTTGTTTAAGGCGCAATAAACCTGCTCCTATATTTTTTTTTTATAAAACTGACGATTCAGGTTCGACCGATTGATTTCAAAATTTACATGCCTTATGGGCATGTATCGAGTTAAAAAAAAAACCTACCTACAAACTGGTACTTTTCGCAATATTTGCAAAGTAGTCGTTGATTTCCCGAAACAGCAAGAAAAAGTAATTTTTTGCAATTTTTCAAATTAATACTGAATATATAATTTTTTTTCTCAAACATACCAAGAGGTCCTTAAGAGGATCTATTCAACTTTCCAAAACCCATCTTCCGTTCGCTGTACGATCATTAGTTCCCGAGATATGTCGATGATAAAGAAAAGGGTATTTTTTTGCTTTTACAAATATTTTGTTTTTAAATTTATGTACATCACGAAAAAATGCTTTTTTTATTGGTTTTTTAATAATAATTTGGTTGGATCGTACTCCACAAGAAAATGCGAGAGATCGTTTTTGTTCTAAATGAAATTTTCTACAAGATAGCATCGTTCCAATTTTTTTATTGCTAACTGTCAAACAGCCGCTAGGACGATACGGTAACAATGTGGAGGGGGCGCATATTNAGTAAATATTTCCCATAATAAAGATTTTAATAATTTCTTCAAAGAAATAATGGAATTAACAGTTTTTGATTTTATGTAAACTAATGCAAAAAATTAAAGGGTCAAAGGAATTTTCGAAATTTTTCCGTGATTTCTGACGGACTGTATTTTAGGTGAAAAATGGTCGTATCGGGAATTAAAAAAACAAAAAAAGGTCGTACAGAGAATTGAAGGGCAGTTTCGAAAACTGGAATAAATTTCCTATAAAATGCTGCCGCAACTTTTCGGAATTTTTTTTTCATCTTACACGAATTTTAAAAAACAGGAAAAAAAAAGGTAAATTATGGTTTTTTGGAAAATTGTCGGCTAAATTAGAAATATTCACGTAATAACTTATGTTAAGCATGACTTTTACAGTTCAATATCCCCAGAACTCGACCCAGAAGATCCCTGTGAAGTTTTATCTCGATCTAGCGAACCGTTTCCGTTTCAAACTTGAAAAAAATATTTTTTTGAGGTTTTCTCACAATTTTACCGCAAATAACTTTTAATCTGACGCAAAAAAAAATGCGAAAAATTTTCGAAATTTTTGAATTTTTTATTTTTTGGAAAACCTTCCGGACATTGAAAAAACAAAATCCCATTGTTTCTAGCACGATTCGGCTTTTCCGTTCTATGCTTCTGTTCATCAACTTTTAATTAAATTAAAA